AGAGAGAGAGAGAGACCTGTTCACTTGAGAGCACCCTAATGGGTCCAATTTTTACTGATACGTATTTTCCCCTGGAAGATAACTTTTGTGACACACGCCCCTGTACCAAAAGACCCAAAATAAGTACACCCATAAGCACATTGCGAATTAGAATAAGCCAATTTCAAGGCTGTGGATACAAAAATAGCAAAAAATATCACTTTTCACAATGCAGGGACAGGAAAACTAAAGTAGGATCTTAATATAAGCTGTCAAGAGAACATACCCTTTACTTGATTAGGAACTGAATGTAATTATTATCAAGGACTTTAAATAGGTCTGACATTCCAGCATATAAGGATCTCAAAGCCATGGAAAGTAAACCTCAAAGTACAAAAATGTCAACTTATGTAATTAAAGACTAATATACCATAGCCAAAAGAGTGTAAGTTCAGCTATCTTAGGCAACTGCCATGCTTATTCAACAAACGAATAGAATAGAATAATAAGTTTGTAGTTGTAGTTTTAACATCTAAATGCTTGTTTCCTCCCTCGTGCAGGATAAGCAATAAGAATGATGTACAACACAAACTTACAAAGTCTAATATCACAAGGTTGAGGTGAGCTGCGATGAGAAATTCTGTTACCCACGGGGTCACTTCTACTGAGATGCACAGGATGGAATTGATTTTGATCAGAGTTAAAGGAATAAACTTTTATTTTTTTTTCTTTGGGGTAATGTGTTATTTGAACACTACGACATGTACAAGACACTGAAACCAGTGTCAGTATCTGTGCAAAACTCGCCACTGATAAATGCTCAAGAAGAATCTCCAAGTATGGATATTTTTGGAAATATTGGGTAATAAATCCACACCGTCCATCATAGATACCAACAAGCACTTATTGCCTTCATGCCTTTGGAGGTTTCATAAAATGGGAGGCCCCAAGATAAAAATATCTAAGGTTTTAAGGCAAACTGATCTGAACGTTTGTAGAGAGAGACCAACGGTGTGGGTTGAGAAAGAAGAAATCCAAAGGGCTGCAACTGACAAATCGAAGGGATTACGACTGTTTTATTGTCAATTGCTTACTTTTTGAAAAGAATATTGATGCAGCCGAGCCCAAAAAACTTATCTGACTACGGAAAATTACCCTTTCCTATAAAGATAAGAGTAGGTGGTGGGGATCAAAGAATGCCGATCAGGATTTTATTCGAGTTTGGGGTTGCTTAAATATTAGTTTCTGTTTTAGGGTTCTAGGATGAATCGACAACTTTGTTTTCAGAACTCTGAAGATAGTGAATTCTTCAGGGGGAATCATTTCCCCTTTGTTAAGGCTTTCTGTTCTCTACTTTTGATCTCTTCTGTCCCTTGTTAAATTTAGTGAATTCTTGAGGAGGAATCATGTCCCCTTTCTTAAGGCTTATCCCTTCTCTACTTTTGATCTCCATTGTCCCTTGTTAAAATCCTCGACTCTTGGTGATTCCTCCTCAAGCATGTATTGATGTCCCTATATCTAGTAAATGAAAATTTCATTAAAAAAATAAAAAAAGATATCCCTAAGAAATATCCTTGGTAAATCTATTGTATTCCGCAGCATAATGATGGGACAACATATCAGAGCAGTACATAGCACATTTTTAGGGTTTGCATGCGTTTTATATTTTAATCCCTTGACGAAAAGAGATATAGACCTTTCAGGAGTGCTGAAAATGTTTTTGCTTGAGGTTTTAGAAATGCAAAGGAACTTTACCTTTTTCTAATGTGCATCAACAGCAAATGAATGTCCTGATTCTTCATTCAGAGAAGATAGGATAAAAGTATCTTGTTTGTTCCCTAGGTTAAGCAAATAACATGTCTAGAAATACAGTCAGTAAGGCAGCTTTTACCAACATAATTCTGTGAACTGGAGAAGTTACATCATTCCTAGTGAATAGCCTTTGGAGCAACTCAGACAAGTAAATTAGAATTTGATTATGGGGATAAGCACCTGAACTTCTTATGAAATCAATAACTGCAACGTAGGACATTTTGACAATGAATTTTGTGTGTTATGAGGTGCAATCAATATTCTTGGTCAGGCCAATCCTATGGAAGACATTCAAAGAAGAGTATGATCAAGCAATGCACGAAGTGAAGAAACAAAGTCAAGAGAATTGTAGAGAGAAAAACAAAATCATACTCATGATGCTCATATGGTAACATAGCACAAGGTGTAAAGCTAGACAACAAAGTGATGATCAGGTATATTTCAATAGGCATAAGCATAGTTGTTAGAGGCAAGAGCGGGATCAGTTCGAGATTTGCCGAACCGCCCTATCGTGGAAGCTCGCTGAGGTTAGGATCGGTGTTCGTACAATGAACAAGACAAGGAGCGAGATCCCATGTCAATAGGTTCGATGTTTTGACTAGCAAGAATCTAAGCTCCACTATAAAAAATAATAAGGTTGTAAGTAGAGGTAGTACGAGTTCCCTTGGTTACGGAATCGAGGTTTCTGTATGTCATATAACCGGGTTCCTCCTATTCTAATATCGTGATTCTTAAAGTATAGGAATCAAGGTCCTCAGCTGATTGGCCCCGGGTCCGCAAGTGCGATTTACCAAGGATCCCTTATTAAGTGCCCACCGCCCTTAACAATGGATTTATCTATTTTCACGTGAATAACAACAGCTTTATAAGTCGATCTTTCTTGTGAGCACTACATCTTCAGTCCATGATACAAGCTTGCGTGCAGCATTCCCTTTGAGTCCTTGCCAACCCAGTATCCTACCACTCAAGAGTCATCTTCTTCGAATGTAGTCTCTTCTGCTTCCATTGTTTCTCAAAGGCCAGCTCTCCGAAGGGACAAGAGGACAAGATGAACTACTCTCTCTTCTCTCTCTCTCCCTCTGACTGACGTAAAATAAGCTTTTTAAAGCTTGGAATGAAAGCATATATTCTCATCTCACAACTGTCATCAGATTTAAGACTCTAAAACAATAGGACATCATAAATATAAGATTCTAAATGAAGTATATATTCTCACATATAAGAGGAATGGCTTACACAACAAGACAAAAAATATGCCTAGTTCAAATTAAGAATCTAAAATAATGGAACTTCGTGCTACGCGAAAAAAGGGATTGGATTTTAACATCATGGAACTTATGATTCCTAATTAATGGGAACTTCGGACAATGGCAATCTCTAAACTAGTATCATCTGTTAATGAAAGTAGAACCCACAAACATAAAACCCAAGATTTTAATGTACCAAAACCTTCGACCATAGTTGATGGGAGCCGGGATCTATTTCGAAATGGATCTGGATTCCACTGATGGATAGAATGTGGTCCCCTTCTTTGGGAGTGAGATCTCAAAATTGAAAAAAAAGGGTCCCTACAAGATCCCTTGCAGGAATTGTGGGATCGAGGTTCCGGAGTGGGATCGTCACCCTACCTACAAGGTTCCCTTAACTATGGGCATAAGTATAGATTAGGCCATAGTGATAGTTAATAGACAGTTTCTAGTTTGTTAATGTTTTGATTAATAAGGAGGAATGGATGGCCTCAAGGTGACCACATATGTGACTTAAGAAAATTGCTCAACAAGTGAATAAAACTTAGTTGTGCCTAAGTTTTGGACATCGATAACAAATATACATAGGTAGTGACATATAGAGGACATTTCTGATATGGAAGCAATGCTTTGTTCTTTTTTTTTTCAACCAAGGGTAGCGATGTGGAAGCAATGTTTTATGATTTAGTGACAAGCTGAGTTAGAATCCCAACATGGAGTAATGGACACTTGCATATTTTTTCTTTTCTCAACTCCAAAATTTTTTTTTGAAGAAGTCACTCGAGTTTTTCCACATTAACTGTTTCACTTGATATTGAGTTTGAGTAATTGAATACTGCTCAACTTCATGCAGGGTCACACAAACAATAGCATTATACCTTTCTAAAGAGTATGGAGAACTTGGGAAAACAATAAGGTGGCCTTGGCAAAGGCTACAATTTATCAATGCAGGGCAGGACATATAAGCAAGATTAGAAAGCATTAATAAAAGCTTTATTTATGATCACAGAGACAGAGAAAGTGATCATGGTGATTTCACAGTGCAGAAGTACACTAGAATAAATTTCCGGTGTAGCCTGTCTTTATTCAAATAAGTATTTCTAAATACTCTCTTCAATTGTTTCTCCTTTTGAGATCTTGTTCAGATTAGGGTCATTGTTCCTTTGGATTGGCATGGTTATTGGACATTATGTACTTCTATAATGTTCTGATTCAGTTCAAGTAAACTCTACGGTATTTACAACATGTAGACAAGTTTGCTTGAGGTAGGTTAAGAATTTGAACCCTTAAGGAACATGAACCTGTAACTTTTTCTACTTTGCCAAAATATTAAGTTCTGGTTCAAAACCATGAGAGTTCGGATTTACAGCAGAAGTACTTCTGTGATTGCTGGGCTTCAATTAATTCAATGGGCTCATGACTAGATTGAGTGATGCTTTAATTGATTCAATTCTTGCAAATGGTATCGGGTCAAGCATAAAACACGTGGACAATGGCAATGGTCAAGAAGATTTGAGGTTTATGCATGTGTAGTGGAATAGAAAGAGATGCTGACACAGATTCAACATCATGAAAGAAGCATTATGAAGTGGTTTATGGCGCATTCATGTGCAACAAGTCCATGTCTCTTTATTATTTGGTGGATCATAGGTACAGCTATAAGACTGAGAGCAAGGGTCTTCACAATCCTCGCAGAGGGTGTTCTTTGAGCAGAGCTTGATGGGGAGAGTTGTGTTTTAATATGAAGTGTTAGAAATCAAATCAAATTTGCATTATTTACTTAAGAGATTTCTACTAAAGAAGAGCTCCATCATCATCATCATCATCATCAGAACCTTTCCCCAACTAATGGGGTCGGCTACACAAATCGGGGTCCACTATTCTGCTTTATTAAGGCCATACCCTCAGGAAGGCTATAAGTCCCCATATCTTTTTTCAATACTTCAAACTATATCCTTTAGGATCTACCCTTTACCCATTTTAAGTCTTCTACTTGAACCAACTCGCACTTCGTAACAGGTGTTGTACTGGATCTGCGTTGCACATGCCCAGTCTACGTAAGTCTACTTTCTCTTATCTTATCACCTATTGGAGTCACACCTAAATTCTCCTAAATGTTTTCCTTTTGAATTCTATCTCTTCTTGACCACCCAACATTCCCCCCAACTTCCCCTTCGGCTTCATTGTTGTGTGGCGATTGTATAAAACTCCAGTTGCACATCTCTACTTCACCCACCCAACTCTAATTCTATGTGTAACATCTTCCTCAATCTCTCCATTTTCCTGGATTATCAACCCAAGATATCGGACGTGCGTTCTTTTTTATATTTCTTGGTCATCAAATTTAACTACTTCCTCATCTCTACTCCTATAATTACTAAACTTGCATCAATAAAGGAGAGCTCCAAAAGAAGTCTGAGGGAAATCATTAGAGCTGCGAAAAACTGGAATCCTGGTAAATGCAATAATATTTTGTGTGACATGTAAATTTTTCAATAATCCAAGCAAGAAACACAGCAAAACATAAATTGACCAAATGCTGGGCATTCTGTTGGTTTCCAATATCTGAAATCCAGTGTCTAAACATTGGGCAAGCGGCAAGCCTAATAACTTTCATCGTATATCCCACCCTCCATGATTTTGCATCTCTTACCACCAAGAATCCAACATGTCTCCTTCATCCAATGTCCCTTTTTTTTTTCAAAATCTATGGCACCACCCCTTGTACTTACTTCTTAAATTAGTACATCACGTCCTATAAAGCAACTTACGCCATGTATTATTATAGACATCATAATATATTCACTAGGGAAAAGTTCCACTCCAATAGGAATGGGTAACTTTTATAGGATAGATGAGATACTCATGAAAAAATAACCTAAATAGAATATGAAAAAGAGATCAATATAATTAAACGAAAAGCAATTTGCCTGTAACATAAGTTACAACAGTCAAAAAGAAAAACAAAAGACCAGGTAGCAGCAGCAGTAATAATACATTAACAAACATTTTCATTAAGAAGCAAAAAGTTAATTTTTGTTATGGAGTTAAACCTGTATGACAAATGAATAGCATCTAGCTCATATAGTTTTTCTTGTCCAAGGAATTGAACTAACATTTCAATAAAAAGAAAAAAGGATTTGAATAATTACGTGATACTCACCTCTGGAATTGGCTGCTGAATTACTGATTCAACGGCAACAACCATGGCTTGCACAAAATCATCACCTCCAGTACCAATGGCAGTAAAACCCCTTACTGTTGGATAAGAGTTCACCTGTGATGTTAATAATATGAATCCATTATCCTATGATACTCCTAAACACCACCCATATTTTGGAACATTAAAAGTTGCGATATATATACCAACAGGGGAGGGAAATACAAGCTTTTGTAGGTCAAAGGGTAGCAACATAATCATTTCATTTCACAAATGTATGCATATTATCGCTATTTAATGAGTTCCCCTCTGGTGTAAAATATATGGTTGCTTCTCTCGACTCAGGCATAAATAATCTTTATTTAGACTCGTCCCCATTGAAGTGGTTCTGTACTATTTCCTTTATTGGTTAGAGCTAGGGCATTGTATCCAACCCAACATTTAAATGTTTAATTGCTATGTTTCAATTTAACAATGGTGTACCAGAGTATGGGGGATGCTTTGTTCTTGTTCTCTAAAATAATATCGCCCATTAGTTTTGACGGCTGCCAGCTATGCTTTGGTAATGCATAGTTTCATTTCATTTTCTTTATTTTTTGCCTTTTTTTTTTTCTTTTCTCCTTTTGTTTTTTTTTGGTTTTTGGTTACTGTAGTTTTCTTATGTGGCCTTTTTGCTTGTAAAGCAGACATATAAAGGAGAACAGGGGTCAGTGATACCATAGACCCCAACCCTAGCTAATTGCCTTCAAAATTGAACGAGACTTTAAAGAGCAGTGATATTCCATGCTAATCCCCATACTATCCATCCTATGAAATAGACCCATATAGATATTATCTTCATGTTGCTTAGTATGGAGCCGCCTGCTAAAGCTTGAAGAACATCACACATTACAATGTGTCTTATCATCCATGATAGATTCAACTATAACCCACGAAAAAGGACGCAGATAAGAATGCCTGGTTGAAAAAGATAATCACACCAAGGGAAAAAAAGAAAACAACAACTTTACATAAGAAGTGATCTAAGAGCTTGTCATGGTTTGCCGACCCTTGACCTTGAATTGACCATCAATTGTTTACTTTTACAGGCATCCATTTTGCACTACAATGGCTTCCACTTTTCACTTCTTCTATTAGAAGAAGTATGCATGTCTCAACAAAACTAAAGTCGAAACAACTACTTGCTCCAATTCAAGTTGATGGCTCTAATACCACACTGGTCTGTATTAGACGAGAAAAATAATGATATACAAAACCTATAAGAAAACCCATGACATGCAAATAACATTTTTTTTAAGAAGTTATCAATTGTATTGATTGGAGGGGTAAGAGTATAAAAATGGGCTGCCTGAGAGATTCAGGGGCTATATATAGCAAAAAATCGGTTGCCTAAATCAGGAAGCTCTATACAGAAATGCCCCCGAGGGGGAACACAATTGAAGGACGAAGAGGAAGAGGGAGAGAGGGTGGGAACCCCAGGGGTGAGTTGGCTGAGTTTGAAAAAAATACTCAGTCTGTCGCATTTGTAGCACCCGCCTTGGCGAGAGAGTCTGCTGCTGAGTTGCTCAAATGATGAACAAGTCTCCAAGTAACCGTCAATCCTTGACTCACGTGAGAAACTTCGTCAATGACAAATAAGATTAAAGGATCAATTCTTCCGTGCAAAGCCCATAGCTACTACGCCAAGTAGAATCCAAACAAAGAGTTACTGATGCCCCAGCTAGTAAACTCCTTTGAACTTTGTAGCGGCTACAATCTTATGCTTAAATGCACACCAAACTATGGGTCACATAAAAGCCTTGCTATCTGTTTAGGCAATAAACTCAAGCTACAAACTAAAGCAAGAAGTAGCTAATTGAAAGAGAGAAGCTCCTTAACGCAACAACACATCAATAATGAATTTGGGAAACAGTCATTTTACTAGCATGAATGCCTCCTTGTCCTTGTAGGATATTCAAAGGAGAAATGTGATTGCTAGGGCGAGATCTATATGCAGATGGAGGAAGATCATGTGTTAACTTCCTTCGTGGTATTAACGCTGATTGCAAATGTCTTAAGGAGTATAGTTTGGAAGTAACACATTTTACTAGCATAAACACCTCGTCCTTGTAGTACATTGAAAGGATAAATGTGATTGCTTGGGCGAGATTTATATGCAGGTAGAGGACAATCATGTGTTCACTTCCTAGGTGGTATGAAGGCCGATAGTGAATTTCTCAAGGCATATATTTTGGAAGTGACTCAAGCCTATCCCCAAGGTATCACCTATCTTTCGGAGAAGACAACAAAGAGAGACATGAGAAGCAATAAATATTCTCCATCTCATGGATGAATATGTTCCTATAGCTAGGATCACTTGTAGTGGACGATTCACAAACCATTCAACACAGACAGCATGAGGAAAAAGGAGGAAAAGACCCTCCTAGCCAAATCCATGTATAAGATGTCGGGTGATGACATGGTAGAACTCTCCCATAGTGAACCTGGAGGAAGGAAGCGAAACCCAAGTTGCTAAGTTTTTTGTTAATGTTCTAAAAGTAGATATCTTACTATTGATCCTCCATAGTGACGGGGTGTCGCCACGGCTAATATGTCATCCCTTTGCAGTGGGAATGAGAGATATTCGACGATCATCTTTTCTAGTATAGGATTATGGAAGTGAATGCTTTGAGCAATCAGCATTTCTAGGAAAAACCTTTATTGTTTTATAGGGTTCTTGCAAGCACAGGTTGGGATAAGATGGAAAGAAACAAGCTCTATGGGGTCCATGTTTCTTGGTGATCGTTGGGTGATTTCAAACAAAAAGTTAATAACATTTTTAGCTTGAGAAAACAGTTAACAGCATAAAAAAAAAAAACATTTTTAGCTTGAGAAAGCTGATTCTGTTATTTATTATCAAGATTGTCTAGAAAGAGTTTATTCACTAAGCCTCACACAATGACCGAATGACCTCTAAGGAGTGAAGTGATGTCAGATATTTAGGCTTCTTGGCTTGATACAAAAAAATCATGATACCAATTAGAACTTGAGTGGAACTTAAGTGAAAATTGAGTGGATTACTCTTCCCACCATGGGTACATAACTGAACTCAGACAGTTGCAAGAACGGCAATCAATACTGAGAAAACTTTGGAGGCCTAAATTGTGGTAGCCAACAAGTAGCATTAGTGTTAAGCTGACCCATCAGAAGATGTAATTCCAACTACTCTTTGGCTGGTGATCTGTTCATTTGTCACATGGCTTCTTAGGTGTGTGGTACTGCAACATGATTCCTGGAACCTTATTAGAAATTTAGAACGTTTAGAGGACATTCACCTTTCGAGAGGGATTTCTAAGGAAACACAATAATTATGTCCAACTTTGTTGTTGCCAAATTTTATTGCTTCCTAAGGGAGGCAAATTCTATGCTAAATAGGTAAATTAAATTATTGATTAAAGAGAAAAAAATACATATCGCCTTAGAATGGCATCTCTTTTAATGGAATTATTTTTCATTAAAAGAAACTTCCAAATGAAGCACTCAATGGGATATCTTGCAAAGGCGGAGCTCAAAATAAAACAGAAATAAAAGTGTTGTAACCCATAGTGTATAACAAGAAAAGGATCAATATCATACCTGTTGATCAAGAACAAGCCATTCATTTTTTGAATCCCCTGTTACTGTACCTCCAATAACAACATTGGTTGTTTGTGCAACCCTTCCTTCAGACTTCGAAACCTCTAAAAACCAGTACAAACATCCCTCAATATTTTACATGAATCATCAACATTCTTCTTTATATCAGTTATTAAAATATTGTAGAAAATCATCCAAAAAAACACAATCAAAGACGAGAGATAGAAAGGGAGAATTTCCTGAAGATAGCCATTTTATTTGCTGGGCACTAAAGAAACTTATAAAAAGAGCAAACCTGAAAAATGCAGTTGTTTTCATAAGTCACATGAAATCATTAACTGATAACATAATCATTAACTGATAACATAATCCTTGAAGTTGTTTTCATAAGTCACATGAAATCTGTATGGATGCCTTTGGAAATTACATTGTTTCTTTGTTCAATATACCCCGAAAATATAGCCAAAGTCCATAGCATCCTAAGTAGGCAGCCTCAAATTAGCATTCACATGCCACATGCAAGCTATTCTACTGCAGCAGGAATCCTATGAGAACCTGTTGTCTCCTAGTAAACATTGTCAATATTACACCAACTATTTATCACCTGTATCTTGAAATCAGTGCAAGCAGAATAACGTAATTTGTACAATTTTTCTGTCTATAAATGTCATCCATCTTTCTTTGCTCTTTAGATTAATCGGGTTTTGCATTTATAATTTGGTAATAAAGTCAATGCATTTCAAGGATAAAAAACTGCTCTGTTTTTTTTTTTTTGGGAAGAGGGGGGGCCGCAGGGTAGCATAGTGGTATGAATCGAACTTGAGATGCTTGAGATGTAGTATTGCTAAAGTCAACCACTAACCACTTAAGCCCAAGCCCGATTCCTAAAACTGTTATTTCATTCTCGGCATTCAAAAACTCATCCGAGCCATCTCAGACTTAGCCAAATTACTCGGGATTGGCTAGTACCTGAGGCAAGTTCCTATATACCTACACAGGTACATGGGAAAGCGCATAGTACTTGTACTTGCTCGAGTACTGGAGAAGTCATGTTTACAGAAAAAGGGGCCACCACCCTACTTATCTTATTTCTCTCTCTCACAAATTGGGTACAGAATATGCCCCTTTTTTCATCTCTCTTTGAAAGGGGGGCAGAAATCTGTTCTGCCTCCTCCTTTCATTCCTCTCACTCTAAAAGAGATGGAAAATCTGCTCCCTTTTTCGTCTCAATATAAAAAAGGGTGGACATCTGCCCTCCTTTTTTCATCTCTCTATGAGGGGGCAGAAATCTGCCACCTTTATTCTTCTCTCTCTCTCTCTCTAAAGGGAGTGGAAATCCACCCCCTGTTTTCATATTTATCACTCACTATCCCACAGTGTCTCTCTTTATTCTCCCAAATGCTCTCTCTCCCCCCAAACATCTTTCCTGTTTTTCCGTTTTTTCCAGGATTTTATTTTATTTTTACTTTTTTGAAGGCATTTTAATGCCTGTACACTACTCAGACAAGTCCATTTAGACTCGCTCAAGTCACATGGTTTGGCCAGGTGCCAAATTCTGAGCCCATGTCAAGTATGTACTTATCCTTCAATATTCCTTTGCCAAAGACGTTTTCTTTTTCTTTTTTTGCTTTAAGTTTGGATAAATGAGTTAAACAACCACCTAATGCCTCAGCAATCTAACCCCAAAATTGCCTAGATTATATAAGCTCTCATGAGTCAAAATAACAGTAAAAGGTGCCCCAGAAAAATGTACAGTAGCAAAGGTGATCTAAATTTTAGAATCCAAATCATGGTAAACAACAAAATAATGATTATGAATAAAAATAAACTATAATACATGCAACAATCCATAATTCTTTCAATCAAAGTATAGTTCTAATCAAAGGAATTCCAATGCTTTCTCAACAAAATCTTGGGCATAAAAAATTCCACCGAAAACCTAAGAATTGAGATATTTTACGCTGTTAACATAACACGTACCAGAAAACATATCTAAAATAATAAAATTATTCATTACGCTAAAAAATCGAAGATATTCACTAATTGCCCGTAGCCCCTTGAATGCGTCTCAAACAAACATGAATTCACAAAACAACAATTTTTTTTTTTTTTGAGGTACAGAAACAACAATAATTGAGAGAAAAAAAATGAATAATGAAAGCTTATATCTTCATAAACTCCGAAACTCAATTCGAAAATATAAAACCCTAGAAATCCAAGCATTTCCTACAACACAATCCCATAGATTCCCAAATAATCAATGGGTCCACAGAAACAACCATAATTCAGAAACAAAAAAACACAAAAAGCTCCTTTGTTTTTGTAACAATAGCGAAATCACCAGAGATGGCCTTGAGAACGGCTTCTTGAGGAGGTTCGTTGTCATCCTGAGATGGAATCTGAGAAGAAGAATTCGAATGGGAGCACCTAAGAACAACGGCTTCAGACTGAAGAACCCTGGCTCCTGCATGCTTGTTAGTAATGGACAAAGAAGGAAGACAAGCCCTGCTAAAGCGCAATTTGAGGATAGATGGCAGTGGAGGTGAAGGAAGAGAAGAGAATAATAGCGAGCGGAGAGGAGCAGCAGCCGTGGTCGCACTGGTTGCCGCCATCATTTCGCTGCGAAAGATTGTGTGTGTTTTCTCAGCAACACATGTAATTGTTATTTACATATACATTAATATATTTTAATTCAGGAAAAAGCTTATATCCGGTTGCAACCTTCAAATGTACTTCCGTCCAAAATCCATTGAAAAAGGTTGTTTTAACGTTGAAAAAACCTTTAATTAATCATCTTGACATCGATTTATGAATATAAAAGGAAAAAAAAAAAATTTAAATCCCATAAATGTGCATCTAGCAATATTGAGTCCCAAAAAAGTACATCTTGCAATATTGAGTTCCAAAAAATTTGAAAATACGCCATAATTATTTGTTTAAAGTTGCAACCTCATAAAACCCACACCCTTTAATTTAATTTAAGACATAGATAGAGGCCATATATGTATACATCTCATGGATATATTTTTTGAGCTATGGTCCCTCAGGAGCATAGTATACTTTTACTCTCTCAGGTAGAAAACCTAGGAGGATTTTTTTAAAAGGTGCAGTTTGTATAAAGCCTAGGTTCTAAACAATCAAATTAGATCCTACCTTCAAATAGTTTCAAGAAATGTGTTTCAATATTGGACATCATTGTGATATAGCCTTAAAATATATTTCATCTTTATTTATAAAGTTTAAAGCTTCAAAAATAGTGTAAATCAACATATCTATGAAAAATTGAAAATCTTGAAAATTGACGGTCCAAAAATGCGTTACAAAATATACTTTTCCAAAACTTGAAATCCTTTTTTTTTTTATATCCATGCATCTTGATGCCGAGATGATCAATTAGAGGATATTTTGGCATAAAAAAAAACCTCTTCTAATGAAACTTTTGACGTAGGCTCTAATTTGATTGTTTAGAGCCTCAGCTCTATATAAACTTTTCCTTTTTTTAAAATATGAAAGTTTGAGAACTACCTAATAATCAGTAAATGGTTATTCTTAAAAGAAAAAATTTGAAAATTTGAGCTTTCTAACACACCATCTAAAAATCTAATGTGCTCTAAAAATCTGATGTACATGGAAGTAGGGAACTTTTTTTTTAATTGAGGCTAATCTATAGGGTTGAAGAGATTGCATTATCAAAATTCAAGGTCTTAAATTCTGATTTACCCGAAGGAGTAAGTGGACAATATACTCCTGCAAAGAGTATAATATCTTTTGGCATGAGGACGTATACTATGCTCCCTCAAGAGCATGCTATACATTTATTCCCTTGTGTAAATTGGAATATATATATATATGGAAAAGTCTTACCAACACCTATAGGCGAAAATGAACAGTGATTTCACCTACTCCTCATCACCGTTCAAAGTTCATCGCACAGTCACGATTGTCTAGTAGTATTTTGTTTTTCATTTTTTTCTACAAATTAGAATGACTTGAAATTTGAAGAGTGTGTACATCTTAGTGAGGTGCATCTAATAAAAATATAAAAATATAATTTATAAAAAGTAAATTAACCAAAATACCCCTGAAATGTTTTGGGGGTATTTTAGTCAATTTTTTTCATGTAAAATATTTTTTTAATATTTTTATTAGATTATCATACTTTTTATGAACACACATTTCAAATTTCAGGTTTTTTTGATTTGTGAAAAAAAAAATGAAAAAAAAAAATACCACTAGACATTCGTGACCATGCGATGAACTTTGGACGGTGATGAAGGTAGGCGAAATTATTGT